CAGGCTGGGGCAGTGGATAAAAATAGAACAAGCTGGCCCAAATCAGGGATTAAGGCCAGAGCCTTGGTCTTGCCAATGCCAATGCTCTGTATCCAGGCTGCCTCACTGGAAGAAAACAAATGGCTTCTATGGGTCTTTTCAGAGGAACACGGCCTTTTTCAAAAGCTTTTTGCTTGGTAAATACATGCTGGGGCTGCTGTGGTCTAGTAACTGATGTTATAGCCAAAAGAGAACTTGTGGCTGACCAGGATGAGGCACACAGGAGTTGCAGCTCTTTCCTGACCAGTAAGGGCCTCCCTCAGTCTCCACGGCCTCTCTCTGGCTGGGGTTTCCAAGGGAAGGCCCATTCCCCTGGGTTTCTCAGGAAGAGTGGTACACATTACAAGAATGAAGGACGAGAAGGTATTCTGCTTGCTCTCTGTGAATGATCAGTCCACATATCAACTGGGGAAGGAAGGCCACAATCAACTACTCCCTGTCACCACTGGCCATATCCACACACTTTCCCTCAACCTGGAGCCTCTCAGGCCCTTTGTACCATACCAAACTCCTATGTGACAACGGCTTCCCTGCTCCAAGTTCTCCACTGTCTTAATGTGCCCATATTGTGTCTTAAGGATACAAATGGATTTTGCATTCGGCCCCATGCCCCTCTATTTGTTTTAGTGTAAATTTTTTCCCCCATCGAAGTCGTTTAACAAACTCGTCTCTCTGGGAGCAGGATCCACACTGATCCACTGACTTGTACCTGCTTCAGAGACCATACTGGAGCAATTTAGCAGACTCTAAGGAGCTGTCTTCACTTTGTCCTCCCAGGAACTGCTCCAAATCCTGCTTTGCCAGGGATTTAGGAGACTGGCAAAAGACTATGCCGTGCCCTGGTGTGGCCACCGAACTGAGGTAGAGTAGGACAGCTGCCTCTTACCCACTGGTCAGCTGGGGCCAGCCCCAAAGGCCAAGGAGGGCTCACACACCTCCCTGGAGATAGGAACTGGGCCTCAGGTCTGCCATCACAAGCTGCCATTGCCTCAAGTCAGTCTCCTTACAGCCAAGGCCACACTGGCCTAGACTGTTGTGACCCTCTAGTCAAGGGATCACACACTGGACTGGAAACTTGTGTGACTTGTTCACTTGTCTCTCAGGGCACTGCTTTCTCCCCACACCCCCACCCCAATAAACTGGTTATCAATACTTAAAAGTTCAACAATTAGAAAAGTTAAAAAAAAAAAAATTCTTCAACTCCTGGGAGTAATAAAAAATCAGATCTGGCCACACAGGTCTGCCTCCACCTGCGCGTGCGCACGCACACACACCACCACCACCACCCCCCCATGGGGCAAATGAGAGCTGTCCCTCCAGTGAGGGTGTCTCCGAGGCATGTCACCCCAGGCCTGATCAATCCCAGCCCCACTCATTCACTCTGACGGGCACCTGACCCCTGTAAGCCTCGCAGTGAGGCACTCCTAGATTAGTGTGACTGCTCCCAGGCCAGGAGCACAGCAAGCCCAGAGAGAGTAAGTTAAACCTCACAAAGACTATCATTTCAGGGCTGGTGAGATGGCTCAGTGGTCTAAAGCACCTACTTAGAACAAGCTTAGCAAAGCACAGGGACTGCGGTTCAATACCCCAGCACCACATGCCAACCAGTCCCGCCCCCTGGTGGGCTGAGCTGGCCACACACACACATATAAATAAAAATTTTTTTTAAAAAAAGACTACCATTTCAATTTAGGAGAAGCATCATCATATTTTTGCCTCAGCTTTTCTCAAAGGTGGGAGCCTGCCCGTTAGCTCAGTTGTTTAAGCGCCTGCTTATGCAAATGCAGTCAGGGATTGATCCCCAGCTCCACATGTCTTACCAGACCCACCCATAAGGCAGCCTGAGCCAGCCAAAAAGAAAAAACAAAATCCTTCTCCAAGGTGGTAAAGGAATTAGGAAAAAAATAATGTTGCCTTTGCTGACCCTGGAAAAGACACCTTCAAAATATCTGCTACCTTCCTAACAAAACTCCAAGGAGCCCAGACTCTGGGTTGCTATGGATCAGACAGAAGATCTTGAAGGACCTGCAAGGCTATGCAGGACCTGCCTGTGCAGGTAAGGGCTTCGACCATTATTTCTGCATTTCCAACATGTTCCCAGCCCCCATCCCAACTGCTCTACCTCCACACAGGGTCTGCAGTGGGACAGCTGGGGTTTAAAAGAGAGACAGACACTAAGGGCCAAAGAATGACCAAAACGACCCCTTCCCCATAGCAACAACCACGTAATCATCATCAGTTGCCCAGGGACACCACACGCCCAGAGCTGGTCTTGGCTAAATGCCCCATTTGTTTTCCGGAAACCGTTGGTTGAGTCAGATTAATAAATACCTTCAGGGTTTCCCAACAACATTCTCCAGAGGGGCACTCTGGCACTGCTAGGTCACTGCTGCGAGAATCATTAACAATCCCTCCCCACCCCCACCCCTGCCCACTGATCGACTGCTAACTTGACAGTAAGTATGAGCCAGGCTTGGGCCTGAGAGGCTGTTTGTTGGTTGATGTCACTAACAGAACAAACAGCACTGTCCTAGTTCCTGCCTGAGAAACTCCCTGTCCCCTGTTCAATGAGGCCTTTCCAAAAAAGAGGAGGCCTCCCGAAAGATACCCGTGTGTCTGAGGCTGTGCCACCCCCAGTCACCCTGGGTCAGTGGTGGTGAACCTAAGGCCCACATGGTATTCTACATTGAAGACACAAGATGTTAATGTATGAGTTATTTTTCTAAACAAAAACCTCAGTACTCAGGCTGAATTGCAGTATTGTCATTGATAGTAAATGGGGGGGGGGGAGAGGCAAGGAGATGGCTCAGTGGAATAAGCACTTTCCTGGCAAGCACAAGGGCCTGAGTTCAATCCCCCGTTCCACATAAATGAATGAATGAATGAATGAATGAATGAATGAATGAATGAATGAGGGGGTTTGGGGCTAGACTGTGGGCATTCCTCTCTAAAAGGTTCACCACCACTGCCCTTGGTCAACCTCTACCACTCTTCCATTTCATCACACCACAGAAAGGATCACTTCTCGATGTGATCTGGTTTGTTTACTCACATATGAAAGTCTCCTAGCAGGATGAGGGTGCAGCTCTGCGGCACAGCACTTGCCTATGCACAACACCCTGGGTTCAGTTCTCAGCACTGCACTAGTCTCCCCTTGGTAGAGATAAGGCACACGTGGGCACCCCCATCTGCACTGTCCACAGCCTTCTGTCCTGCATCACCTGCCTGCCGCTCAAGAGGTGCTCGATGAACCCATGAACCTCCTAGGGAGGCCCCAGCACAGGGCTGCCCCTCTCCTAGAAAACTGTCCAAGGGTCAGCCACAGTCCAAAGCCACAAACACACCAGCCTTCCAGACTCAAGGCTGGGGTCTAGCGGGGAGTAATTCACACAGTTGTTAAAAACACATCAAGCCAGGCATGGTGGCACACACCTGTGACCCCAGTAGCACTTGGGAGGCTGGGGCAGGAAGATCACTGAGAGTTTGAGACCAGCCTATGCTACAAAGTGAGCTCAAGGCCAGCCCAAACTGCATAGTGAGACCCTGTCTCAAAAAGAGAAATTATCAACAAGAATAACACAAAAAGGGAGAATCACCTCCACCCTCATTCCAGTCTTGTTCCCAAGAGCCAACTGCTAAGTTTCTCTGTCCTTTTGGGCACATGTCCAAGTCCCTCACACATGTGTGCACATGCAGCATGCTACCTGGCCTCTATTTTCTGTCTGTCTTTGTTTTTGAGTCAGGGTTTTGCTATGCCATTCAGGTTAACCTTAAACCCTCTTTGTAGCCCAGGCTGGCCTCAAATTCTCAGGGATCCTCCTGCCTCAGCCTCCCAAGTGCTGGGATTACAGGCATGCACCACCACACTCCATTTCTTTTTCCTTTTCTTCCCTTTTCTCACTTGCTCCCTCTCCTCTTCTCCCTTTTTTTCTCTCCCCTTCCAAGGCTCTCCCCCTCCCTCTCTCACTGAAGTACAAGAGATTGAATCTAGGGCAGTGCACATGCCAGGCAAGTGCTCTGCTGCTGAATTACATCCCCAAACCCTGTCCTACACCTTTCTTTCCCCCATTTAATATCTTGGATCTTTCACATCAATTCAAAAATAAATTTACCCCAAGATCAAGCTCAGAAACCTTCCTCCTGTTCTTCAGAGTGCTTCGGAGGCAATGCAGGGGACTCCCGAGGCTGGGAGCTGTTCTACCAACACTTAGTTGGTGTTTATGTTTCCAAACAGCCTCTCAAAGGGCCTTTGTGCTTCCCAAGGGCTCCAACACTGAAGCTGACCCAATGAGAACACCTACTACCCAAAACTGTGCCCACGTGTGGGTATTTCCCTACCCTACCCCACCCCCATCTCTGAGACTCCCATGTCTGAGGACACTCACTTCTAGGGAATTATAGTTTCCAACAAGCAGAATGAGTTCTTTCCTTGCCAAGTTTGTGAGGCTGAGGCAGGATAATTGCCTTGAGTTTAAGGCCACCCTGCGCTACATAGTGAGTCCCTGTCAAAGAAAAAAATGATGAAAATAGGGAAAAAAAATACCCCTTCCATTAGAAAAGCAGACATTGGCAGTAGAAATATCCTAGTCGTTCCTTTCTGCCCTTTGTCCTTGCACATTCAATACAGCAAGCAGTGATTCTGCCCCAGGCATCATGCCAGGCACTGGAGAAGCTGTCAAGTCCCACAGAAGCAGGGAGGTTAAACACCAAGGCGACGCTAACTGGACTCCTAACGGAGCTGGTCCACTCCATTGAGGCCAGGGGCCCTCCCATCACAGACACGGTAGGCAGAACGTCTGTCTTTAACACAACCATGCCCTAGGCAGAAACAACCCAGCCCAGGAGGCAGCAATGAGGAGAGGCTGATGCTGAGGAGAGCGGGTTTGGGAGTGTAGCAAAGGCTGCACGGGTCACAGGGGAGCCTGCTTCCCAGCGGAGGCAGGGAACCCGGAGGCACCTACTTCAGAAGGTTTTCTGCTCCTGTCCTCATCCGCACAGCTTTCAGGATCTGCTGATTCAACGCAGCCCTTTGATTCTGCAGTTTGCTGCGGCCCGTCTGTGCAAGGGGATTACATCCCTAGGAGAAAAATGAGATGCTCCTTCAGAGGCAAGCCACTCCAAAGAGAACGATGATGTTTACCAGAGCAGATGTTCCACAAAAAGACAATTTCTTCTGAAAATAAAAGTAAATTTCAATATAGGAAATGGACAAAATACTACAAATAAGTCACTCATAGTATACAACTCCAAAACAGCCACTGTGAATTGGTGTCCTTCCTTCCAGCCCACGTGAAATGCATGTTGTTATTCTCCATGTCCTAGGCTGCGTCAGAGCCCCCAAGACCACTCAGACGTTGAGAGACTTGTTAGAAAGTTTCACAGGACATGGTGTAGAGAGGCATTCGTGACTATGACTCATCACCGGTTCTTAATAAGGATGCGTACAGAACTGGAGAGGTCATAAGAAGTGCAAAAGCTAGAGGAATCCAATGCTGGCTTGCTTCAGCCTCCCACCCATGCTGGGTCAAAAGGAATATGCTCTTCCCTAGGACCGATAACCCAGGAACTCCAGCTGGGCATGGTGGCATACATCTGTAGGGACAGAGGCAGAGGATTTTAAGTATCAGCCTCTGTACTCAGGACCGAAGGCAAGAGCATTACCATGTTTTAGCACTCAGCCCGGGCTATTTAGTGAGTTCAAGACTACCATGACTACACAGTGAGACCTCGTATCACAAAACAAATAAAAGAAGGGCCAGGGATACACAGTTCAGTGCCAAGGCCCTAGGTTCAATCCCCAGTACCAAAAAAAAAAAAAAAAAAAAAAAAACTAAATAAAATTCTATTACATGTAGCAACTCCTAGTCAATGTCTCTACCCATATTAGCTTATGAAGGGAACACCTTAGTGGGAGCTACTCCCATAAGCACACTCTGTCGGGCACGTCCCAGAGTCCCAGGCTCCCAGCAGGACAGCAGGGCTTCATCACAAACCACGATGTGTGTACCACCAGTCGAGGCACAGCGGGCTACCCTTACCAGTTGGGGAACTATGGGCAGACTCAGGGGGTGGGTTCCCAGGAGGCAGCCGGGGCAACCCTGCAAGCAGCCTCAGGCCTGCAACGCCAGCCCCATCCTGTGCAATGGCACACACAGCTTGTGGTGTTCTGTCACACAGCACTCCATCCTGAGATTCTCCTCTAGCACAAAGTGACCCCCCCCTCCCCCCGGCTGGGTGCTCCAGGCGGAAGAGGCAGGAGGACTGCAAGGCCTTGCTCAGCCTGGGCCACTCAGTGACTGAGCAAGCCCGTCTCAAAATTTAAAAATGAAAACAAGTTGGGCATGTAGCTCAGTACCAAAAAGGCCTAAATTCAACCCCTAGTAACAAAAAAAGAGAAGTGTTCCTCAAAACACAAGGTTTTTGCTTTGTATATGTAGTGCTGTATGCTGAACTTGGACCTTACCTGTGCTACCCAAGTGCTCTACCACCTAAGCTACCCCCGTCCCAGCTTCGCCTATTATTATTCTTCTTATAGCTAGCCTAATGTGTATGGGATCTCACTGAATTCTGAACTGCATTCCCCTGATGATTAATGACAGTGAACATTTCTTCACTGGTGTAGAACAGAGGTGCAGCTCTGTACTGGAACACTTACCAAGCATGTATTCAATCCCCAGCAGCACTATTAAAAAACAAAACTCTGTTTCCAAGGCTATGGCTTAGGACCTAGGCCCTAAGCTGCCCCAGGTAAGATTTCCTGTCCCACATTGGTCTCCTTGGTCTTTGGTGGGGTAGGTGGTAAAACTCTTCATGGGTTTACTGACCTGTGCTATAGATTTTCTCTAGAGAAATATCAAATCAGATCCTTTACTCATTTTTAAATGGGATTATCCATCTTTCCATTTACTGGGATAAAAAGCATTATTTTTAGTGACTGCAAAAGCAAGTGTCCCATTCTCCCAATGTGCATGCTTTATTATTAGTGAAGGTAAACACCTTTTTTCATATAGTACAGGTCACTTGGATTTCTTCTTCAGTGAATTATCTGCTTATACTCTCTCTGCCTAGTACAGTATTTTTCTAGGGTGTATGGATTATACTGTTTTACGCTATAAAGTTTAAGATCAGGGGAATAAAAGTTTCCTTTACACCTAATGGTGTTCTCCCCACCCAGATAGACAGAAACCCTGGTATCTGAGTTAGGACCACATTCCTGGCTGAGGCTTATCTGCGGCTACTCCCTGGGAGGGGCCTGAGGGCCGAGCCCACATCCAGCCTTCCCTTCCCAGGCCTGCACCACGCCCATGGCCTAGGCCTCAGGCACAAGTGTGAGTTGTTGGTGGTCCTAACTCAGATACCCTTCTCAAGGGTCCCTGTATCAGCAGCCTCTGACTGGCAGGCCAGATGTGAGTTACAGTTCTCCACCTACACAGACTTATTCTCACCGGCTCCCCCTGCAGGTCCCATTATTTGCACACACACACACACACACACACACACACACACACACATCCTCCCCCAGTTTTCCTGTCTCACATGGATACTTTTCCCCAAGTTCAAACACATTGCAGATACTCAGAATCTGAGCTAGAATAGATCCTGAAGTCAGAACTATATTTTCCTTTTTCTTGGTACAGGAGATTGAACCCAGGACCTTCTCACTGAGCTATATCTTCAGTTCAGTTTAATTTTTGAAACAAGGTCTCCTTAAGTCACTAAACTGCCCAGGCTAAGCGCAAGCCTGAGATTCCCCCTACCTCAGCCTCCCAGAGTGCTGGGATTACAGGCCTGCACCACCAAGCCTGGCCAAACCATTAAAGGATGCCTGGTTTAAAATTAAAATCCTTTTTCAGATGTAAGATAAAAATGTCTTTCATGTTAATTTAATATTAAAGGACTACAATAACTATTGGTCTCTTCCCTTCCCCTTCTGAGAATTAGTACGAAGGGCTGGTCTGATTTGACTCAGTGATGTGGCTCACCAATGCTGTGTTTTATTTTACCAATAAGCCCTAACAATTAATCCTTTATGTACATTCCCAGAGCTCAGATAAGCAGCAATTCCAGCATAGGATAAGAACTTGTTCCTGCTTCAAGACTTTAACCAACTTCTGGAATTGCTACATCCTAACCAGCCCACAATTGTGAGAGGTCAAGTTTCCAGCTAAGAAATAAGAATTCACAGGTTAGTAATTGGACCCAAAACTACATTACTTCTTACTGACAGGTAGGAATGCTGAGCCCTGCTAGGAATCACAGAAACACGCACTGGGCACCCAGGAAATTTCCCTGAGAGATATGCCTGTCCAAGACCACCAGAAAGGCCCCCGGGAATCACCAGGGGCTGCTGGGGTTGACGCTCCCCCTCCCACAGTCCTCAGCCACATTGTCTCCTCTCTGGCTTTGTCAGATAGTAAGGTTCCCAGAGTAGCCCCTGCAGCTCAATGACAGAGACACATTCCTGACAGGACATCAAACTGCTCAAAAATGGCAAAGATTTGTACCAGCGAACAGGGAAGTACCTGTCACACCAGCCTGGCCTGAGAACCAGGGCCACTCACTGAGCTACCTGACCTCTTAGATCACTCCTGACAAGGTCTTGCAATGAAATGAGTCTTTCTTAAAGTCTGTTTGGCTCCCTGGGCAGAATCAGGTTTGGGCATTTTGGTCTGTCTTGAAATCTGGAAGAACAGTCTGACAGCTCCCACCCAAGAAAAGCCAAGAGCTGAGGGAACTCTCAGCACCACTACAAGCTTGGTGGGCCTCTCTGAGAGTCTGAACCTATACTGACCCAGATACAGCATCTAGGATCTGGGGCATGGAGGTTAAGTGAGCTACTGGACTCCTTCCTTAGCTCTGGGGTGGTCTGTGAGGCAGGCACAGCAGCAGCAATATGTGGGGATATTGGGGAGCTCCTCTCCCAATCCCCAGGGGCACCATCATGTGCTTCCTAGCTGAGGACTGCCAGAGTCAGCCCTCATCCTTTGGGGAACAGTGATCCATGCCTACTTTCCCAGCTCCTGGTCCATGTTAGTTAGAAGTGGTAAATTCCTGTTCCTAAAACAACCATGAAGCTGGGCGCGGTGGTACACACCTGTAATCCCAGTACATGGGAGGCTGAGGCAGAAGCACTGCTACAAGTTCAAGGCCAGCCTGGGCTAAAGAATGGTCTCTCCCCTCCCCCCTCACTGGGCCCCCACTCCATGCAGTGTCTGGCACTTGCCTGGTTCCCCTCTACTTTGGAAAGCAGAAGAACCTTCTTCATCACGGCCAAAGATAAAGTCCAACACATAGCTATGTTTTTCATCAAATTTAGGACAAACTACAAGCTTAGGATCTATAGGTCAGAAGTATAAGTGTAAGGTGCAAGGACAGGACTGGGTGAAAGGACACCTGACCAGAGACCCTCATTCAGGCCACGAGAGGACAGGCGCTTTTAGCTGCTTCTTCAGCATAGATAGTTTCTTTGTTTTTTTCATTCCTTCCTGGTTATACAATCCCTCACTCAATCACCAAACTCTGGAAAATATAATTGTTTGTTTATAAGTTCAGCAGAGCTGTCAATCAGAAAGCACAGAAGCAGCATGCCATACTCTGCAATACACACATACATCTCATTTAACTTTCACCACACTGGCGATTCAGGGAAGGCTGAGTGGAGACAAGCTAGCTGTTACATGTCAAAAAAAATAAAATAAAATAAAATAAAAACAAAAAATGCAATAAAAACATGAACTGGTACATAAAAATAGCCCTCCTGCTCTCCCAGGGTCTCTGCCAGGAATAGGGGGCTAGCTGTACAGGCCCAGCTGCCTCCTTCCAGCAGCCCAATCCATTCCCACAGGAGCAGGGTAGGCATGATACAAATCAGTACTTTGTCACAACCTTGAATTGCCCAGAGTGGGCTCAAACTTCTGATCCTGCTGTCTCACCCTACCAGAGCGCTGGAATTAGACATGTGCCATCATAACTGGCTCTGGGCATCTTTTATTTTATTATTATCCCCCCCCCAGGCTTTTTTCTTTTTCTTGATTTTTTTTATTTTTTGGCGGAACTGGGGATTGAACTCAGGCCCTT